GAAAAGGAATTTGTAGTTTTGGAGTAAATACATGCTACGTGTAGCTCTATACTGTCAAAAGATGATAAAATAGGATGCAAAGAACTGCAGAAGCCTTCTCTTTTTAATTTCCTATCTTTTCCATGCTGGTTCTGTCTAAGCATGACTGTCTGACAATATAGCTGCAGATTCATAGCTTCACAGGCGTTAGGACCAGATGGACCCATTAGATCAGCCATTCTGCTCACCCATCCTACCTCGCCAGCTAGGATTTCATCCAGCTCCCTGCCAAGAGCCCCGTAACTTCTGGTGTCAATTGTGCCACAGGCTCGTTTTCCTCCAGAAGGGCCCCGTGGACCAGCCAGAGAGTGGCTTGGGGCAACCAGGAGATGTTTCCCGTACTGACAGCTTATCCAGATTTTTGGGATAATCCCTCCCACCACTGAACTTTGCTTGTGTGAAGGAGTGTGCCTTGTTGGTCCGCAATGTTGGCACTCACGGCCCAGAGTACGTGCTGGGCAGGGTAAGCTCCTGTCCATTTTGGGACAGGTGATGGATGCACAGTGCTCTGTTCACTTTGCAGAATCAATGGTGGATTCATAAAGATAATGACCATTGTAGTCATTAGTAAACAGAATTCATGGCCTCTCCTGGTGAACTTGACAGCCCTTTGGAGGGAAGTGACTCTGAAATAGGCAGTGCAGAAGTAATTAGGGGAGCACAAAACTGGCAAGATGATTCTGCGATGTAAGTGGGGCTGCATGAAAAGGGACGTACTTACCATCTCGCTCTTGCCATTGTGATAGCACCTGCTGTACTACAGGGAGGTTTCAAGTGCACTGACTTTAAACAGATCGCAAGAAGCTTTGAAATGCACTTTTAAGGGAGTTGTGCCTAGGAAAGCCCCTCTGGTAGTTGATTTACCCCAGTTTAATGTGGCAGAGGATGAAGTGAGAGGTAACACCAGGATCCAGCCTGCTCTAGGACAGAAAGACAGAATGATGAAGCTGCTTCTCTTGTAGAAATCTCTTTCCGTGTGTGGATGTGTGGAGGGAGCCTGGAAATCATCCCCTGCAGCCGTGTTGGACATGTCTTCCGGAAGAAACATCCATACATCTTTCCAGAGGGAAATGCCAATACATACATTAAGTAGGTGTTTTGTGCTTGCTTTGTTCTTTGTGAAACGGAATAAGGTGCTGCCTTGTGGGGAGGGGGGAGCAGAGAAGACGGGGAGGAAAGTTTGTTTTGAAAACTTTGAAATATCCCTGGGCAGGAATCTCCTGAGCTGAAGAAAATACAAGTCAGTACGATTCTCCCGTAGGATTCCTACAGTGTCAAGAATATGACAGAAATCAGACACTTACATGGTACCTTTCATCAGCACAGAAATGGAGGGAGGGCCCCAGCATCTCCCCGAGTACTAGCTACCATAACAGCAAATGGTTTGGACACTAAGGTCATCAGAACACATTTATAATGACCTGAAATCAGGCTGGCAGCAATGTCTGTCGGTACCCAGTGACCTTAGCTGAGGGCTGAGCGTGGCTCAGCTGAACCAGAAAATTTGGTTCCCGATGCCCCTCCGAGAAAGGAGCCGAGCAGCATGCCAGAGCGGGTGGCTTCGCCTCCGGGCTGGTGCTGTCTCAAGCAGAGGCAGGAATGGGCTGCACCTCACTGGCGGGGACACCAAAGGAACTGCCAGGGCATCCCAGCTGAAGGCAACCTGTCTTCATGCACAGGAACATAGACTGAATCAGGTACTGAAACAGCTGGCTGAAATGGGCTAAGATCCTGGAAACAGCAGGCAAGGAAGGAGGCAGTCCAGAAGTGGGAATTGGCATGGGAAAGATGATGGGAGCAGCTAGTGAAGTCAGGAAGGATTTCCTCCTTTTTTTAGAGCATGAGGCTGAAGGTTGTCCATTAAGTAAATGACAGAGAAAAACACTGGGGGCACTTATACTTAATGTAGGGTTGTTTCTCAGCTAAACTGCATTTGTGTGTGTTTACACACCAGGCATTCCTTTTAGTGTGGCTTTCCCAGTGCTACAAAGAGTCGACAACAGTATTTGTGAAGACCCAGCTGCCTGCAGCGGGGTTACCACTGACCCGGGCTCTCTGCAGCTTCCCCACGCTTCGCATGAGACAACGAACTGGGGGAGTGCAAATTACATCTCTCGGTTATATCTAATATGCGATTTCCAGCCACGCAGCGTGTGGGGCAGGAAGGGGACTTTGTCACCTTGCTTCAAAAAGACGGTGGTGAGGAGCACAGGACATTGCTGGCATCAAGGAGGAGGGCACAAATTTGAGAGTCACGAGGAGGGCTCTTGCTTTTAGTAGTGAAATAAGAGTCCTACAGAAGAGGCTGGGATGTGGCAAAATCTCCACTATCGGAGTCGCTGCAAACCTGAGTGAAAAAGCAGCGTCTGGGTTGCATCACCTGCAGGAGGAGCAAGGGGAGCTTGAGCGGGTACGGCTCTTCTGGCTGTGCCCCAGGCACAGGCGCACAGGGACTTTGGGGAGGTCTGAATCAATGCCTAGGTGTGAGCCTCAGCATTTATCCCCATGTTTCTTATAAACCCAAATGAGATCAGAAAGCCAGACAAAAAACCCCTGCACTTTGGGGAAGGTTAGGTACAGATGTTGATACTGTGACTTAGGCATCTCTTGAGCAAGAGGACTTAGACTATTGCAGCGGCCTTAGAGAGGAAGAAGCACCATGAAGCAGCAAGGGACTGAAAAGCGGTCTGGAGAAACATATCTGTAGGCATTAGGAGCTGTGATTTTATTAACCTTATGGTATCTATCAGCCTTAAAATTAATGTTATAGTATATAGACTGAGAGGAGAAGCAGCTTCTGGCAACCTGATGCTATGTGGTACCTCTGTTTAAACAGAGATGTTAGCAAAAAATATCTCCACCTTTCTGCCAGATATTGATTTTTTTCCACACAGCCTCTACTTCAGTGTGAGAGACAGCTCGGGCTCCAGAGTTGCGCTGGCTTCACGTGCGGACTATCTCCTTTTCTGGGCACATGGGGCTTGGCTGGATCCAGAGCCTGCACCTGCAGCCTAGTGGTGTAGTAGCAATAGCTTGGAGGCACTGGCCTGCCTTGGAGCGGGAGCTTGGAGGACTCCCCTGACCTGGGCAGGGATAGGCAGATAGGCATGGAGCAACAAAGCCATTTGCAAGGAGAGTTAGAGCCATCTGAAGTCAACAGAAGATTTCCTGAGGTTCATAAACCTTCTGCAGACACTGGCCGATGTGGAAGACTGACATTTATGCTACAGCATTGTAGTTGGGGTGGTTTCTCTTAAGTTTTGAGTGCTGAGATTTGCCCCAGTGAAATCCAGGGGTGCAAAGCGGGAGAGTCCATACAGGATTAATGCAAAGGAAATATTTGCCTTCAATCTTTGGCAAATTCTGCACCACTTTTCAGAGCTCCATCCCAGCTGCTAAATAAACCCCCAGGCACGCCTACCTGGGAGATGACACTTAAGAGAAGCTGCACTTCTGAGTCTAACGGATGCAAAGCATCCAGCTGAGTTTGAAATGGTGAATTCATCACCCAAGCTTTTGCCTTTTCTGTTTGGTCCCTGGAGTAATGGGGAAGAGGAGTATCTTCTCTAGTAGAGAGGGGTGGGCTGGCTCAAAGGTGGTTTGGACGAAGCCAAAGACCAAGTTGAGGATGGGAGGAGAGCGGGATGGAATAGTCAATGCATTTCAGAAAATGTCACCTCGGAGGCTTCCTTGGTTTCACCTGTCTTTCGTTGCCTCCTTCAGAAACACCAAGCGCACCGCGGAGGTGTGGATGGACGAATTCAAGCAGTACTACTATGCGGCTCGTCCCGCAGCCCAAGGAAGGCCTTATGGAAAGTAAGTGTCTTTTTCTGCTGCCTGTGCCCTGCCTGCTGCAGTGGGTGTTCACGGTGACGTCGCCCTGCTGCGGAAACCTGCCTGTGTTGTTTCTGTAGTAACGCTCAATTAAATGCTAATGGTAGGCAGATCCTATGAGCACAGCAATGAAACATGTAAACAACTAGTTTATATGCTGTGCTAGTTTATCCCAGTGAGTGAACCGAATCGAGGTGGGGGAAAACCCTCTCTGCCTATGTCCTGCCCTTGGCATTAGGTAAAGTACTTCTGGTCCCAGAGCGGAGTTTGCAGGGGAGAGTCCAGAGGTCTCACTGGCAGCTGAGGGGCAGGAAAATAATCAAATTTTGGGCCCACTAAGGCTTTATTGGAAAGGAGCAAGTGCTTTGTATTCAGGGAGTTTGCCATTCATTCTGTGAGCAGTCAGAAACGCCTCCCTGTCAGAAGGACTGTACATATTTGTGTTAATTTCTCATTTTCATATGCTCTTCCTTTCCTTAGAAAGTTTCCTTTGGACTGCAGCAGGTTCCAAATCCAACCGCAAATTCCTTTCAGCTACTCTTCAATTTCTGAGATAAATAAATTGCAGTCCTGGTGACTAACCTATTTCCACTGAATTCATACCCTCTTCCCATCCGTCAGCATGGACTGAAGCAACAGCTCTATCCTGCTAAATATAGGAGGGTGTAGAGAAGGTAGACTATGCAAAGGGAAGGTACTGGAGGCTTCCTACTGCTCTGTAAACGCCAGCTCATAACAGCTCCACAGGTAGAGGCTGGCCCAGGGAGGAGCTGGAGTTTGGAAAATGTCACTATACAGCATGATCCCTCAGCAGAAATTTTGCCCTGGTTAATGAAAGAAAGAAGTATTTCACCATGTGATTAACATCTGCTGACTTAAAGGTGTGGTTAGGTCCTCTTGGAAATCAAGGCCTTCTGTAGTCCTGTAAATTAAGAGTAACATATAATAGCATATATTAATTTCCTAGTACACTAATGTATTAAATAAATACTTATTGCATATAGTAGATAGCATACATTTTTTTACTAATAATTTTTAAATAACTGTACTTTTCCTTGAACCTTTTCATCCATCAGACTCCAGGCTCCTTGTTAAAATGGCAATATGTCATCATGCCGTTTTACCAAGTGAGACCTCCAAAGAGACAGAGATCAAAACGACCGCTCAAGCTCATGCAGAAGATAGCAGAAAATAGGGCTGCTGATGCTCTTGTATTTGCTATCTGTGCATATCTGTTGGGTTTCTCTCAGCTTCCCTTTTTGGTGCATTGGGTCTCACCTTCATGATTTCCATTGTATATCTATGATATTTTCTTCCCACAGCATCCAGAGCAGAGTGGAGCTGCGGAAGAGGTTGAAATGCCACAGCTTCAAGTGGTACCTGGAAAACGTTTATCCCGAACTTCGGTATGGATGTGCAATCTCTGCCTGTGTCTAGCAGGCCAGCGGGATGCCCCATCCCTCCTACCCCACAGAGCTTTCCTCTGCCCTTCCAGTCCCCACACCTCTTCCTGCCCCAGAGACACAGGCACCCCCTCCCTTGGGCTTCACAGAAGGGCATAGTGAATTTTGTGCTGGCTTTAAACACAGCTTGCTCACAGTGTGACATGGGATGAAGGGATTGAGAGCAGCCCTGCCGAGAAGGACTTGGGGGTACTGGTGGATGAAAAGCTGGACATGAGCCAGCAATGTGCGCTTGCAGCCCAGGTGGCCAATTGTATCCCGGGCTGCATCAAAAGCAGCGTGGCCAGCAGGTCTGAGGGAGGTGATTCTGCCCCTCTGCTCCGCTCTGGTGAGACCCCACCTGGAGTACTGTGTCCAGCTCTGGAGCCCTCAGCATAAGAAAGACACGGACCTGTTGGAGCGGGTCCAGAAGAGGGCCATGAAAATGATCAGGGGGATGGAACACCTCTCCTATGAAGAAAGGCTGAGAGAGTTGGGGTTGTTCAGCCTAGAGAAGAGA